TCTCTCACACACACACACATACACACACACACACATACACACACATACACACACATACACACACCCACTCACTCTCTCTCCCCCTCTCCCTTTCTCTTATCCACCTATCATCTCTCTCTTTCGCTTTCTTCTTTTCAAGTCACATCTCTGAAGTTCCGTCTCTTCCTAACCGTTCTTTCCTTCCCCTTCTCTCTCTTTATCTCTTCCATGCTCCCCTCTTCTCTTCTTCTGCATCCACCCCTCCCCCCAAAAAACAAATTTAAAAAAATAATAATAAACACCGCTCGTTTATGCTTCCTCGGATATGCCATATCAACTGTTGCACCACCGTGTTTCTAATAATTCCTTCTGCTGTTTCACGCGCACTACCCAGTTTCAGTGTATCTTCCTCTACCTCTCGAAGATAACGTCATCTTCCCCTGTGCCAAGATCTCCATCAGGAGATGGAAGGTCGAGCGAAATGCCCGAAATGTCAAGGTCACTGCCGTCCATGTCCTTGTGCTTGCGTGGCCGCCTGTGAGTGACCGCTCTGACGATGGAGGGTACCCGCACCCAGTGGTCATGGCCGATGATCCTGTTCGCGCGGGCCCAGGTGCAACACCTGGTCAGTTTGTTGTACATCAGACGCCGGATCTGTCGCGTGGCCAGGCAGAAAAACACAGCGTTCACCAGACCCTGAAGGTTGTCTCCCATAGCCTGAGGAGGGACAGAGGCAGAACAGGGGTAACAGGCTAATTTTTGTTTGACAAAATTTTAATTATCATCAACGTTAAACAGGCTAGTTTTTGTTTGAAAAAAAAAATTATCATCAACAAGTGCCAGATCTGCGACAGACTTCGGGGATCATGGTTCTCCATTCATTCTTTTACTCACATGCTCTTTTAAAAAAGCGACGTTACCCTGATCTTTCCCCGTTTCTCATCTGTTTTGGTTCTCTAAGTTGGTTGCTCTGGGCATACCCCTACCTCGTCTGCCTTCAATCTTGCCAGTGAGAGCTAGATGTTCAAGACCTTTATGTCTACTCAGGTGTCACAAAAACTGTGTTTGAAAAATAAAGAAAAGAAAAGAAGGATTTGTGATTGTAAATAATTATGCAACGATTTTATTTTTTACGGTACTATCGATACATTTTTAAAGGTACCTTTGACACAATTTAGATGCTATCATTGGGCGAACGGACTTCTTCATAATTTGATTGCAAACTTTTTTATACGGCGCTATCGACTCAGTTTAGATGATGCCAATTGGCAGGCTGACTTTTTAGATCCTGCCCCAGTAAGAGCCATTTCTGAGTGAGAGGGATACGGCAACTACCGCAGAAAGACAGAGGTGATCGATAAAATAATTTCCGCTCTTAAAAACGGAACACACATCTTCTACGTGTCACGACTATGGGCGTAAACATAACGCCACAGACGCCAGCGTTGGCCATTCACAAAAAGCTCCAAATCTACAAGGGACCCAGCAGGAGTGAACAACTCGCCCACGTAACAAGGAATGAAAACAGCGTAAACGTCGACAAATACAAACGTGTTTGTACCTGCAAACATTGTTATATATCTTGTGCATCTTTTTTGTTTGTTTGCTTTTACATTTCTTTCTTTCTTTCTCTTTCTTTTTTCTCTTTTCTTTTTTCTCTTTCTTTCTTTCTTTTTTCTCTTTTCTTTTTTTCTTTCTTTCTTTCTTTCTTTCTTTCTTCTCTTTTCTTTTTCTCTTTCTTTCTTTCTTTTTTTCTTTTTTCTTTTCTTTTTCTCTTTTTTTCTTTCTTTCTTTCTTTTTTCTTTTTTTTCTTTCTTCCTTTCTTTCTTTGTGTAAAGACAAGCACCTCGACACAGCACCGGTGCAAGGGAAAAGAAAAATAGAACAGACAGGGACATCAGAGAGAAAGGAAGAAAGTAGGACCTACCCATGGCATCCTCCAACCACCTATTTTTTCTCTCTGACTCAGAAAAAAGTCAGAAATCTGAAATAGATTCTGGATCTTAGATTGCTGGTCCATTTTTCTCACACAATATGGAACGAGCAAGTTTAGCTGGCGCGCGACATCGTTCCATTCTTCACAGACATAGCAAAATCCTAAACCTCACCAAATTCGATATTTTATAATTACCTGCAAGTTATTGCGAGTATCATTCATTTCTACTCAATTTGGTTTTTATTTTATTCAAATAGGGTAAAAAGAAGCGGGGTTATTGGCTAGTTTCTAATGCTGAAAAATTGGATCACAGAGCAACTGAGTTCAAATGTGAAATATCCTTGTAACTGCGTCCGTATATTAAGATTTTCAAAGGATCGGGACAGACAAACAAGTAGGAAGAAAAAAACACTTCCATTTACATGACAAAACGGCTTTGCTGTGGGACTTTCGGGGATCGTAATCGAGCGTGTTCCCCCGTCACTTGTCGCGTTTGCAAACTGCGAGTCATTGCATTAAAAAAAAAAAAAAAACATAAACGAGGTACATGTATCCCCGTGAAAATGATGATATAGATACTTATTATAAGATTATGCCTGGTAAATAATTGATCAATGTCGCTGCTTTAGTAATATTCTTCTATTTGCCAGAAAACAACAGCAATTGGCTACGTTTGCCTCTATCAATCTCCACTTCAAAAACAACTTGGAATGACAGGTTCAATACCGCGCTAGCCTCGAGTGCTTCTACGTGTACTTCAGTCTCATGAAATTCGTTTCTCGTGTTTACCAGAGAGTGACCTCTCTCTTTCTTTTTCTCTTTCTCTCTTTCCTTCTCTCTTTCTTTCTCTCTTTCTTTCTTTCTTCCACCCCCCCC